TATCTAAAGGAATACCTTTCTTAAATTATACGGATGAAGAAAAACTTTTGCAAAGGAGATCTGACATTGCACAGAGACAAATGGGTAAATTGAAAATAACACATCATTATATCATAATAATTATATTCTATATTTAATCTGAATAAATAAATAAATGACTTGTTAGACAATCCGGTGGAGGATGATATGAGAGCATCTGTAGAGAATGCTATGTGAGTCGACTGTGCTTTTGGCATATTCTTATCTAATCGAAATCCTTTTTAGGATCAAATTTACATAGTAATTATGCTTACTTTTGATTGGGAATTGATTACAAGTACAATCATTGATGATTGGCTACACAATTCAACAACTCAACAATTAACGATAGAAACTCCAACGATCAAAGAGAAACGTTTGCTTTTTCAAGAATTTCGTGCAAGGTATTATTATTATTTTTATTATATTTTTTTTTTTAGAGAATCATATTATATTAAAAAGTTATCTTATTAATTTTCATATAAATATGTACATAAATTTTATTTTATTCAAGATTTATTGGTTATGCATCAGCAGACAGTAAACCTAAGAGTATCTTGTTTGTACGGTTTACAAAAGAACAGAGAGAGAAAAAATCACAAAAAGATGCTGAAGAAGTAAAAAAATCTAAAAAAAATTTTTTTTTAAATTTATAATTATAATTAAATGACAATTTATATCTATCCATACTAAGGATCTAATTCTTTGATAGGCTGTGGTTTCCAACATAAATTTTCGAACCATAATAGAGTTGTTGGTTAAATCTAAAAAGCCAATAGTTGGACATAATTGTTTATTAGACCTTTGTCAACTAGTGCATCAATTTTGGAAAGAATTGCCTGAAAAATTAAAGGATTGGAAAAGTCTTGTGCACGAAATGTTTGAGGTGTAAGTAAACTAATCAAGGTTATAAAAAAAAAATTTTTAAAGTGCACATTAAAAACATAGAGTATTTAATGTAAAATTTTAAATTTTATTAAGTGTTATAGATACCAAACACATAGCAGCAAGTAATCATAAATTACAAGTAATCAATTTATTTAATTCTTACAAGATTCTGTGATTCATTGTGAATTTGATATGCATGTATGCGTATACTCAATTTATTATTATTTATTAGGAACTTATTCCAAGAAATGGGGTTCAAGATATCTTGGAAATTGTTCAAACTGAAAATTTTGAGAAGATAGCTCCCAAAGTTGGCAAGTAAAATCGTCCATGATTTTATCAAAAATCTTTACATGTCAAGTATTTATTAATATTAATACTTAATAAATAGTTTTACATCCAACTTTTATGATGCATATATAACTGGTTATAATTTTCTTAGGTTGGCAACATTTGTGTTGCATGAAAAAGGTTTTGTATTTAACAGACAATAATGACCTAATTTGATTAATTATTGATGTTAACATCATGTTCTAAATGTTATAGAAATAAAAGTTGATTTATATAATCATATATTTAATGAGCATATGTCTGATGCTTCGGATGAAACAATTCAAGAAATAGATACTGGTAATGATCCTGA